ATGTGCCAAGTTTATCTTGTACATTTCTTTTTATTTTATTTTATTTTTATCCTCACCCGAGGACATTTTTTGATATTTTGTTCAGATAGAGTGGGAGGGAGAGAGAGAGAAACATCAATGTGAAAGGGGCACATTGAGTGGCTGCCACCTGTACAACCCAACCAGGGCCAGGAACAAACTGCAACCGAGGTACGTGCCCTTAGTGGGAACCAAACCCAGGTCTCTCTGGACCACAGGCTGACACTCTAACCGCTGAGCCAAACCAGCCAGGGCTTATCTTGTACATTTTCTGCACCAAACTCAGAATCAGACATTTCTCCAAGGTTCCCTGGTTCTTTCAATTGGAAATAGTATTTAAAGACAACAAGCTTAAGGAATGCTCATTGCAATGAAGTTGGTCTTTGTTTCTGATTTTTTTAGTGGAGAAAACTAAGAAATATTTGTTTGTTTGTTTGTTTGTTTTTATTCTCACCTGAGGATATATTTTGCACTCATCTTCAGATAGAGCGGGAGGGAGAGATGGGGTAAGAGAGAGAGAGAGAGAAACATCGACATGAGAAAGACACATCGACTAGTTGCCACCTACACAACCCCAACTGGGGCTGGGGACAAACGGCAACCAAGATACATGCCCTTAGGGGGAACCGGCCCCAGGACTCTCTGCGGGCCAACGCTCTAACTGATGAGCCAAACCAGCTAGGGCAAATATTTGTTTTTCATAAAGATAAAATGTATCATGATACTCCCAATTCAAATTCAAGAATACAGGGGTTTTATCTAATGTGATCAATCTTACATCTGTATCTACTTTACTACCTCTGAAAATCCCAGTTTTGTTTTGGTTTTTTATTCTTACCCGAAGACATTTTTCCATTTTTTGTTCAGGTAGACTGGAAGGGAGAGAGAGGAACAGAGAGAGAGAGAGAGACATTGACGTGAAAGGGACACATCGAGTGGTTGCCACTTGCATGACCACCAGGGCCAGGGACAAACTGCAACCGAGGTACGCGCCCTTAGCAGGAACTGAACCCCGGTCTCTCTGGGCCGCAGGCTGATACTTTAACCGTTGAGCCAAACTGGTCAGGGCTGAAAATCCCATTTTTTGACACCAACATAATTAATTATTCTTTTGCTTTATTCCATACTACACATGCAACATACTTAGAACAACAATTTTAACACCACCACCACCAATATAGTAGTGGTATGTACAGTCAAATTGTTGTGCTTTAAAGTCACTAGGTGTATGCCCTGGTCAGTTTGGCTCAGCGGTTAGAGCGTTGGCCCATGGACCAGAGAGTCCCGGGTTTGGTTCCCACTAAGGGCACACACCTCGGTTGCAGTTTGTCCCCGGCCCTGGTTGGGGTCGTGTGGGTGGCAGCCAGTCGATGTGTCTCTCTCACATCGATGTTTCTCTCTCTCTTCCTCCCTCTCTCCCTCATGCTCTGTCTGAAGATAAATGCACAAATGTCCTTGGGTGAGGATATAAATAAATAAAGTCACTAGGTGTGCCCAGCCAGTGTGACTCAGTGGTTGAGCATCGACCCATGCACCAAGAGGTCACAAGTTTGTTTCCTAGTAAGGACACGTGCCCAGGTTGTGGGCCAAATCCCCAGTGGGGGGCATGCAGGAGGAAGCCAATTGATGTTCTCATCAATGTTTCTCTCTTTCTCTCCCTTTCTCTCTCTCTAAAATCAATAAAGGAAAAAAATACTATAAAAAATTATAAAAATAAAGTCACTATGAGTTCATTTTTGGGTTGTTTTGTCACCAATTAGATATATAGGTTCATTAGTTTTTGTTTTTAGGGGTATCTTTGTTTTGTTTTTTGTTAATTCTCACCTGAGGATATTTTTCCATTGATTTTTATTTATTTATTTTTTCCTTTATTGATTTTTAGAGAGAGAGAAAGTGAGAAGGAGAAAGAGATAGAAACATGTACCCCTATGTTCATAGCAGCACTATTTACAATAGCTAAGATCTGGAAACAGCTGAAGTGTAGATGAGTGGATAAAAAGCTGTGGTACATATACACAATGGAATACTATGCCACTGTAAGAAAGAAAGATCTATCCTTTGAGACAACATGGAGAGTATTATGCTACGTGAAATAAGCCAGAGAGTCCGACCGGTGTGGCTCAGTGGTTGAGCATCGACCCATGGGTTCAATTCCTGGTCAGGACACATGCCCAGGTTGTGGGCCAAATCCCCAGTGGGGGGCATGCAGAAGAAGGCAGCCAATCAATATTCTCTCTCAACGATGTTTCTTTTTTTTTAGAAAGATTGTTTCTAAAGCCATTGCAATTTTTTTTTATCCTCACCTGAGGACATTTTTCCATTTTTTGTTCAGATAGAGTAGGAGGGAGGGAGGGAGGGAGAGAGAGAGAGAGAGAGAGAGAGAGAGAGAGAGAGAGAGAGAGAGAGAGAAACATCGACGTGAAAGGTACACATCGAGTGGCTGCCACCCACACAACCAACCAGGGCTGGGGAGAAACTGCAACCGAGATATGTGCCCTTACAGGAATTGAACCCAGGTCTCTCTGGACTGCAGGCTGATGCTCTAACCGCTTAGCCAAACTGGCCAAGGCTCTCATCGATGTTTCTACCTTTCTCTCCCTCTCACTTCCTCTCTAAAATCAATAAAGGAAAGGAAAAGAAAACAAAAAGAAAGAAATAAGCCAGAGAAAGACAAGTATCACATGATCTCACTTATTTGTAGAATATAATGAACAAAATAAACTGACACACAAAACAGATCCAGAGACATGGAAGTAGGGAACAGACTGACATACCTCAGAGGGAAAGGGTGTGGAGGGGGGCAGGAAGATAAAAACCAAAGACCTTATATGCATATATTCATAACTAACGGACATAGACACAGTGTGGTAAAAGGGGGGGGGGGAGCATGGAGCAGAGTATCAATGGGGGAAAAAAGGAGGGACATCTGTAATACTTTCAAAAAAGAAAAAGCAAGACAAAACAGAACAAGTCTACCTTCTATCTCTGTTTCCTTCATCCCACTCCTTCCCTTTATAGGAAATCTTTTTTTATTTTTTCTTTATTGATATTAGAGAGAGAGGGTAAAGGAGAGGGAGACAGAGACAGAAACATCGATAAGATAGAACATCAACTGGCTGCTTCCTGCACACCCCCACTAGGGATCAGGCCCACAACCTGGGCATGTGCCCTGAGCAGGAATTGAACTCGTGACCTCTTGGTGCATGGGTCGGTGGTCAACCACTGAGCCACACCAGCTGAGCAGTAATCTTTTTTTATAGGTAATCTTTTTAAGAATGTTATTATTTATTTATTCATTTAAGAAGTATATAAGCTAGTAGAACACAACATAATTTAACTGAGGCAATTGAGATGATCTACATATTAAATAAAGGAGGGGCAGGAAGAAAAAGGAGTATTGAGGTTTTTTTTGCATGTGCTTAAACTCTTTGCCTAGGATCCCCCTTCTTTTCTTCTAGTTAACCTCCACTCACACCTTACATGTCAGTTCAATTTCTTCTTCTTTAAGGACATAATTTTGGATTTTCCAAATTATTCCATGATAAGCCCCCATCACTTCTGCAATTTATCACCTTTGTAATTAATAATCACATTATTAGTTGTTTTATGTCTGTCTCACTCCCTAGATTGAGGGCCATAGGGGCAGCAATGTTTCTCTTATTTAACATTGTGTCCCCAGAGCCTAGCACAGCGCCTACTCATAATAAGCTCTTTTTTTTCTTCTCCTTTATAATTTATTGATTTTAGAGAAGGAGAGGAAGAGAGAGATAGAAACATCAATGAGAGAGAACATCGATTGACCACCTCCTGCATGCCCCCCCCCCATTGGACCCACAACCTGGGCATGTGCTCTGACTGGGAATTAAACCAGTGACCTCTTGGTGCATGGGTGGACACTCAACCACTGAGCCACACTGGCCAGGCTCTCTTTAAAAAAAAAAAAAAAAAAATTATTGTTTTGAGAGAGAGAAGTGGTGAAAGGGAGAAAAACATCGTTTGAACCGGCGACCCTTTGGTATACAGAACCACACTCAACCAGCCAGGGCCAGGTTCTCTTATTGATGTTATATTACATCTACTGAATGAATCCATTGTGTGAATGATTGAATGAATAAATGATGTTCCTTTTGGCTCTTCCACGGTCTTCTAACCTCTCTAAGCTTTTGCTTTCCCTCTGTAAAATGTGACCATACAGGATTTCCCTCCCCAAGGATTAAATGGGAAGCGTAAGGGAGGTGACAAACAAATTACTCCGCTGGGTGTCCAATTCTGTTCATAACGGTTTTATTTATTAAGAAGCACTGGTTGCCGGTAGGTGGCGCGAGCAGCCCCTCTCTATCCCCATGCCAGGTTAGGGCGGGGCCAAGATTGGGGGCAGGGCTGGGGCAGAGGGCGGAGCGAGGGCGTGACAGGGGCGGGGCCAGCAGTTGCGGCGCTGTGGGACCTGTGCAGCCCAGGATGCCCTGTCGCCTCCGGCCACGCCTTCCAGGGTGGGACGCGCACCGCTATTGGGCAGTGTGGTCGAGAGGAGGTCACCATTGGCCCGCGGCTCCATCAGCTAGGCTGGCGGTGTCCCGACGCAGGTGGCGGCCCAAGCGGAGCTAGCAGCGCTGACCCGGCGGGTACCGGTACCGGGGCTGGGGCGAACGGAGGGACCTGCGCGGTCTCCCGGCCCGGCCCTGGATCAGGTGCGCATGGGTGGCCAGGTGGGGCCGGAGGACGCTGGTCTGCTGGCTGGCCCCGGGTTCGAGGCCCGATCCTGGACCTCCACGGGGCGGCCGGGTTCCGACCCTCGGCCTCAGCCTTTCCCGGGACGAGGGCATCGCAGTTCCCGTTTCTAGGGCAGCGGGAGGTCTCTGAGCTTCGGTTTCCCTATCTGTGAAATTGGATCATTCCAGCGCCAGTCTAATGGGGCTGATTCAGGAGGTGGCTGATGAGAGTTTCAGGCACACAGTAGGTGGTCAGTAAGTGGCCAGTGTCCTTCCTCATCCTCCTTCTCAAACGGGTTCTGCCTGAAAAATAGTAAATATGGTGAACCAGGCACTGTATGGAAAGGACGTGCTTAGCAGAGTGCCTGGCTGTTAGTGGGTGCTCAAAACAGAATGCATATGTGATTGGCTCATTTAGTCCTCTATAGGGACCATAATAGGTGCAAGTATTAAAAATGTCTCCTGTTATAAACAAAAGGAAATTGAGGTTCAGAGAGGTCAAGTTTTTGCCCAGGGCTACACAGCACAGAAGAGCAGAGCTGGGATTTGAACCTGACCTCTAATACAGGGCCAAGGAATTGCTGAAGGGCACACCTCTATGGTGAGTGAAGAGGAATGAATGCATTTCACAGGCTCTACATTTGTAAAACAAAAACAAAATGGTGAGCATTTATTGAGCACTTACTGTGTGCCAGGCACTGACTGTGCCTTGTCTCTTCAAACCTTTCTAATAGCTCTGTAAGCTGAAGACCACAATTATAATAAAAGGTAATATTTATTGACTTCTTTAACTTTTTAAAAATGTATTGATTTGAGAGAAAGAGAGACATAGATTTGTTATTCCACTTAATTATGCATTCATTGGTTGATGCTGGTGTGTGCCCTGACCAAGGATCAAACCAGCAACAGGTATATTGGGATGACTCTCTCACCAACAGGGCTACCTGGCCCAGGGCCTATTTATTGACTTCCTAACATTTATGGAATTTTGAACTGGGTATCATTTTTGCTACCATTTTGAAGATGAGAAAACCAAGGCCAGAGACTGAAGCTGCTGGCCTAAAGTCACACTGTGGGGAGTTAGGACCCTCTGACTTCTCTTCTCTCAGTTTCCTGCCTTCAGTAAAGGAGACTGGGGCAGATGTGGAAAGATTGTAGTGCCATAGTGCCACCCAGACAGGCCTATCCAGGGGCGAGCTTCACTGGAGGAATTCAGCCTGGGGCCTTCTTCTCAGGAAGCCCCTTAGCAGACACAGTCCACCAAATATAGCAACTTATTTGACAGAGAAAGATGAGGCCCAGAAAAGCAAAGTGAGTTGTCCTAGGACCCACAGCATCAATGACAGAGTCAGAACTTTTAAAGAACCATGTCTTCTGAGTCCCAGACCCACTCACTGGACTAACTTTTATTTATTTATTCCAAAGGTTTTTTATTTTTTAGAAAGAGTGGAATGGAGGGAAGGAGGTAGAGAGAGAGAGAGAGAGAAAAAAAAAACATTGATGTTGAGAGAGACATATTGATTGGTTGCCTCCTGCACTGCCCTGGTCGGGGTTGGGGCTGGGGAAACCTGCAACCCAGGCACATGCCCTTGACCAGAATTGAACCCACAACACTTCAGTCTGCAGACCAATGCTCTGACCACTGAGTCAAACCGGCTAGGGCTGGACTAACTTTTCGATTCTGGCACTGTTCCTTCTTAGCTGTGTGACCCTGGGCAAGTAACTGCGCCTCTCTGAGCCTTAGTCACAAATGGAATGATTATTGAATTTACTTCATAGGTTTGTTGTGAGGACTCAATGAAATCTATCTCCAGGTCACTGGATCAAGTTTGCCCTAGACACTGGCTCCCTTTCCCATCCCAGCAACCCCAGAGCTGAGTCCAGCCTGCAGCCATTCTATCCTTATGTCCAGCCTCAAGTTTGGTCTTTTCTGAGCCCAGGCTTCTATGGTTTGAAAGGACCTCTAGCCTCTAAATATCTGATTCCCTCCATGGGCGCTGGCAGACCAAGGAACCTTGTTTTTAATAACACAAGTCTGCTCTTACACAGAGTAAGGGCTGAGAAATTAATGCAGCCACTTTGTGCCAGACACAGGGTCAAGTGCTGGGGACAGCAGAGACCAAGTCCAATTCATTCTCTTCTTCACAGAGCTCACTGAAGTGTGGAAGACAGACGTAGGTACACAAGTAGATGAAGAAATAAGAGCATTTCAGAGCAGGGCACATTCTGTGAGGGCAATAACGTGGACATTAATACCACTTTAGCTGGGATGGTAAGGGAAGGCCTTTCTGGGGAGGTGACCTTTGAAAGGACACTTAATTGGTTAGAGTTCAGTGAGCTTAGCACAGTACTGGTATGTAGTAAATCCTCGATAAGAGTAACTACAGTTATTATTTTGGCCATTTGAAGGCCTGCCATTAGCAGATCTACCAGTGAATTTTTTCCCCAATAGTAAAAGAAATGGTAGAACTAGTATATAGGAGCTGTGATGATTCTTTTTTTTTTTTTTTTTAATCCTCACCAGAGGACATTTTTTCATTTTTTGTTCAGGTAGAGTGGGAGGGAGAGAGAGGAACAGAGGGAGAGAGAGGAACATCGATGCGAAAGGAACACATCGAGTGGCTGCCACCCACACGACCGACCAGGGCCGGGGACAAACTGCAACCGAGGCACGCGCCCTTAGCGGGAACCGAACCCGGGTCTCTCCAGACCGCAGGCTGACGCTCTAACCGCTGAGCCAAACCGGCCAGGGCTGTGATGATTCTTATAATGGCCAATTCCTTGCAGGAATGTTAAGGATAATCCTTAGAGGGGCAGGAGCATTCCCTTGGATAGGTCATTGGTTTTCCTGCTGGCCTCTGGACCAGAAATTCTGGTTGTAGGCACATGGAAGGGACAGCAGCATACACAACATGGCAGGCTGCTCGGGGCCCCTCAGGTGTTATCTCCGTCAGGCAGCCTTCCTCCTGGCTCCTCCTGCCTCTGGCTGATACTTGTTTATCTGACCTTGCTGTGGAGGCTCAGAAGGGCAAGTTGGGCTAGGGCCTTGCTGGCTGAGCTTTTCAGAGGGCACTGATCTGTTGGCAGACTATCCTGGTACAAAAAGTTAGTCAATAACTTAAGCTGCTTTCTCCTGACTCTGTTCCTTTGGGTCTCAGATTTTAACTGGAAGGAGTTGGTTAAAGCTGACTGTAGGGCACATCAGTGAGTATTTCTGGGGTCTCTGGCTCAAAGCTCCTGAGATAAAGGGTGAGACAACTTGGGAACAGACCCTTAGTTTCAGGGCACGTACTGACTGACCTTTACAGGCATCGAGAGGGGCATCTGGTACTTTCACGAAATTCTCAGGGAAATATGCACATCTTCTGGCTGGTTCTGGGAGGGACAAGGGAGTTGCCAAGGGTTCTTCCTGGCAGGTCAGACCCCAGAGTGGGGGGCCAAATCCTGCTCAAGTTACATAACCAGAGCTGACTTCAGATTGGTGCCTGAGGCTGAAGCTGTCTCCTGTGGCCTCACCTCTGGAACAGAGGCATGGTTTAGGGCAGCTGTTCTGGTGGGGACAGAGGCTGCCAAGGTCCTCCCTAGCCTGGGCCACTCCCTGATGGTCTGAAGTGTCAAGGAGTTCACAGCTGTTCAAGAGGCCATGAACCAGATGGGTCAAGGTGACTCACCATCCTTGTCTGTGGGGCCAAATTGCTAGGTCTATTCTGCCCCACTTAGAAGCAGGCTTATCTGTGTTTTTTTTTGGAGGTTTTTGCATTCTTCTTAGGCTTATCTGTTTTGAGCTCAGTCCTGGGAATTCAGTCCATGGAGGACCATCTCCACATGGTTGGTGGGCATGGTTCTGTTATTGGAAAGCTCCAAGCAGAGGGCATGCCACACAGCAAATGCTCAATAATTGTTAGATGCTGATATCATATCTGGAAAGGTGAATATGGGTGTAGCCTATAAGCTTTGAAGCCTGGACTGGGCCTTTCTTAGAAGTGTTAGAGGTAATATAACCAAGACCTTGTGTGCTAGACCTCGGCTGAGTTATATGTGTGATCTCTTCGAATCTTCACAGCTCCTACAAAGCCCCATCTTACAGACTGGGCAACTGAGACTGAGAGAGCTGGATTCAAACTCTGGTCTGTGTTCAACTCACTAACCTTGCCCTTCACCTCTCTGCTGGCCTCTCCTTAGCCTCCTGGGACAATGGGCCTCTAGTCCTGAGGACCTGGTGCTCCCTGTGGCCATGACGATGGGCGATTGCTGCCACCTCCCTGGTTCTCTGTGTGACTGCTCCAGCAGCCCTGCCTTCTCCAAGATTGTGGAGGCCACAGGCCTAGGGCCACCCCAGTATGTGGCTCAGGTGACTTCAAGGGAGGGCCGCCTCCTCTCAACTGTCATCCGGGCCTTGGACACGCCGAGGTGAGTGGTGACCAAGCAGGTGTATTTACCGCCACTCACTTTATTCTCTGGGCCCAGTGATTTCCTACCAGTCTGGGGTCAGAAACCCAACCATTTGGATGGGTCAGAGAAAGGAGCCCAGGCTGGAAAGGTTTGATTCTTCAGGAAAAGCCAAAACTCCAGATTATTATGTGAAATTGGATGAAACATGGTGAGTAGCTCATATTTTTGAGAGGCAGTGTGAGGAAGTGATTAGAAGTGCAGAGGGTAACTCACAGCATCTGGGCTGAAATTCTGAGGGGAGCCTTCCCTCCTTGTGTGACCTGGGACAGATTGCTTTACCCTAACATCTCTAGATTAGAGACACCTTCCTCATTGGGTTGTGCTGAGAGTATGTTGCCATGGTCCACATAAAGTGCCCTCAGGTGGGTTTACCACCTTGTTGCTATTCGATAAATGTGTTTAAACTTCAGTGCTGGCCTTCCACATCCATCTGTGAGCTAATCTGCCTGGCATGCTAATTTGTCATCAGTTCCAAGGAAAAGAGTTTGTTTGTTTGTTTGTTTGTTTTGTGCCCCTAGCGGGAACTGAACCCAGGACTCTCTGGTCCGCCGGCCGATGATCCAACCACTGAGCCAAACTGGCCAGGCAGGAAAAGAGTTTTAAGAAAACCCCACACAAATTTAAATCCATCTTAACTAATTAAAAGTTGAAATAGCCACCGGTTTTTCAAATTTAACGTATCGTTTATTTGATATGATTTAATTCATAAGCTTTTTTCTCTATCATAACCATTTTTTTAAATCCTCACCCAGGATATTTTTTCATTTATCTTCAGTTAGAGTGGGAGGGAGAGTGGGAAGGAGAGAGCGAGAGAGAGAGACATCGATGTGAGAGAGACATATCGATTGGTTGCCTCCCACCTTCCGCACAACCCTGACCAGGGCTAGGGACAAACTAAGGTACGTGCCCTTGACCGGAATCGAACCTGTGACTCTTTGGTTCATGGGTCAATGCTCCAGCTGCTGAGCCAAACTGGCCAGGGCATCTATCATAACCATCTTAAGTGCATAGTCCAGTAGTACTAAGTACATTCACACTGTTGTGCAATCACCATCATCTAGTCCTATAACTCTTTTTATCTTGTAAATCTGAATCTCTGTCCCCATTAAACAACTCTCCCATCCCTTCCCCCAGCCCCTAGCACCCACCATCTACTTTCTGTCTCTATGAATGTGATTCCTGTACAATGTCATGTAAGGGGAATCACATAGTATTTGTCCTTTTCTGTCTGGCTTAATGTCCCCAAGGTTCATCCATGTTGTAGCAGGCATCAGAATTAATTCATAAGTTTTTTATTCAAACATAAAAAGAAGCAGAAGGAAGCTTTACTGGGCTTTGGAAGGAGCTCACTGCCACTCAACTAAGTTTGCCTGGTGTCACTTCCTTCAGGAAGCCTTGCCTGAACCCAGATGAGATTGGGAGTTTTCTTTCTTTCTTTCTTTTTTTCAAACATGTTTTTATTGATTTTAGAGAAAGAGAGGAATGGAGAGGGGGAGAGAAAGAGAGAGAGAAGGAAACATCGATGTGAGAAAGAAACATAGATTGGCTGCTTCTTGCACCCTGACCATGGACCAAACCTACAACCTCGGTATGTGCTCTGACCAGGAATTGAACTGGGGACCTTTTGGCATGAGTGATACTCAGCCAACTGAGCCACACCAGCCAGGGCAAGATTGGGAGTTTTCCTTCTGGCCTTTGCCAAGGCAGTTTTTTTGTCGTTGTTCCCATACTTTTATTTATCTTTTAAATTATTTATGTGTTTGTTTGTTTGATTTTGAGTACTTTTAAAATTTTTTTAATTTTTTTATCCTCACCTGAGGACATTTTTTCATTTTTGTTCAGATAGAGTGGGAAGGGGAGAGAGGGAGGGAGGGGGAGAGAGAGAGAGAAATATCGATGTGAAAGGGACACATCAAGTGGCTGCCTCCTGCAGGGCCCAACCAGGGCTGGGGAGAAACTGCAACCGAGGTACATGCCCTTAGTGGGGACTGAACCCGGGTCTCTCCAGACCGCAGGCTGACGATCTAACCGCTGAGCCAAACCGGCCAGGGCGAGTACTTCTTTTTAATCCTCACCCAAGGATATTTTTCCAGTTATCTTCAGATAGAGTTGCGGGGGGGAGAAACATCGATGTGAGAGAGACACACCTGCCTCCTGCATGACCCTGACCAGGGCTGGGGACAAACCACAACCGAGGTACATGCCCTTGACTGGAATTGAAACCACAACTCATTGGTCCACAGGATGATGCTCTAACCACTGAGCCAATCCGGCCAGGGCAAGAGTACTTTTTGAAAATTTTTTCTTTCCTTTATTGATTTTAGAGAGAGAGGAAGGGAGAGGTAGATAGAAATAGAAACATTGATGAGAGAGAACATAAACTGGCTGCCTCTTGCATGCTCCCACTGGGGATCAGACCCACAACCTGGGCATGTGCCCTGACCAAGGAATTAAACCGGTGACCTTTTGGTGCATGGATCAATACTTAACTAGTGAGCCACACCGGCGGGGTACGAGAGTACTTTTTTTTTTTTTTTAATCCTCACTCGAGGACATTTTTTTCCATTTTTTGTTCAGATAGAGTGGGAGGGAGAAAGAGGGAGAGAGAGAGAGAAAGAGAGAGAGAGAGAGAAACATCGTCGTGAAAGGGACACATCGAGTGGTTGCTACCCACACGACCCAACCAGGGCCGGGGACAAACTACAACTGAGGTTTGTGCCTTTAGTGGGAACTGAACCCAGGTCTCCCTGGACTGCAGGCCGACGCTCCAACCGCTGAGCCAAACCGGCCAGAGCAGAGAGTACTTTTATTAAAACTGGGGACAGTGAGCCCTGACTGGTTTGGCTTAGCGGTTAGAGCGTCGGTCTGTGGACCAGAGAGTCCCAGGTTCGATTCCCGCTAAGGGCATGTACCTCGGTTGCAGTTTGTCCCCAGCCCTGGTTGGGTCGTGTGGGTGGCAACCACTCGATGTGTCCCTTTCACGTCGATGTTTCTCTCTCTCCTCTCTCTCTCTCTCTCTCTCTCCCTCCTACTCTATCTGAACAAAATATCAAAAAATGTCCTCGGGTGAGGATTAAAAAATAAACCTATGAAAAAAAAAATCTGGGGACAGTGAAACAAGGAAGGACATAGGATAGAAGAAGCAACAGGAGAGAGCCTAGGCGGAGCTGCTTTGGCTCTTAAGTAATGTTATAGGAAAGAAATTAGCCTAGGTGGGCTGTGTTGGCACACTAGAAAGTCAGAGGAAAGGGGGCCTTGGAGACAGATTTAGGGCATTGGCCTGGGAGGAGCTGCCACTGTTCATTACTCCCCTGCTTGCAAGTCTCACAGGGATCCTTTAGGAAAGGCATGCCTGAGAGGGAAGAAAGGCATAGGTGTGTTCCCAGGAGGGAGAGCATGGTGTTGTGGTTTTTGTTTTTTATTTATTAATTTATTTTTGTTACAGACGTTTCTCCTTTTTCCCCAGTTGACACACTCTTCCCAGTCCCGCCCCCTGCCCCATATTTTTAAATCTTATTATTAATATTTTTTTCTTTATTGATTTTTAGAGAGAGGGAGGAAGGGAGAGGGAGAGATAGAAACATCGATGAGAGAGAACATCAATTGGCTGCTTCCTGCATGACTCCACTGGGGATTAGGCCCACAACCTGAACCCTGACTGGGAATTAAACCGGCAACCTCTTGGTGCATGGGTTGATGCTCAACCACTGATCACATTGGCCAGGCATTAATCTTATTTTAATTATAGTTGACATACAGTGTTATATTAGTTTTAAGTGTACAACATTGTGGTCAACATTTATATGCCTTACATAAGGTGATCACCACAATAAGTCTAGTAACATAGTCATTACAGTATTGTTGAGTATTATTCCCTATGCTGTACACTACCTCCTCATGACTTATTTTATAATTGGACATTTGTACTTCCTACCCATCCCCTTTTCTACCCACCCCCTCAGACAATCATAACTTTGTTCTCTGTATCTATGAGTTTGTTTTTGTGTTGTTTTAGTTGTTCATTTTTTTGTTCTTTAGATTCCACATATAAGTGAAATCATATGGCATTGGTCTTTGACTTACTTCACTTAGCATAATACCCTCTAGGTCCATCCATGTTGTCTCAAATGGTAAGATTTCATTTTTTTTATGGCTAAGTAATATTCCTTTGTTTATATGCACCACATCTTCCTTATCCATTTGTCTATAGATGGACACCTAGATTGCTTCTATGTCTTGGCTATTGTAAATAATGCTGCAATGAACATAGGGATATATATATATATATATATATATTTATTTATTTATTTATTTATTTATATATATATTTTGGTACGTGCCCCTAGCGGGAACTGAACCTGGGACTCTCTGGTCCACAGGCCGACGCTCCAACCGCTGAGCCAAACTAGCCAGGGCGTATATGTCTTTTTTAATTAGTGTTTTTGTTTCCATCAAATAAATGCCCAGAAGTGGAATTGCTGGGTCATATGGGCAGCTCTGTTTTTAATTTTTTGAGGGATTTCCATATTGTTTTCATAGTGGCTATACCAGTTTACAGGGTGTTGGTTTTTATTTTATTTTACTTTTTTTGTTAATTCTCACTTGATATTTTCCCAATGACTTCTAGATAGAGTGGAAGGGAAGGAGAGAGAGAGAAAGAGAGAAAAATCTATGTAAGAGAGACACATCGATTGGTTGCCTCCCCCACAACTTTGACTGGGGCCGGAGATCAAACCTGCAACCCCTCAATCCTCAGGCCAACACTCTAACTGCTGAGCCAAACCAGCCAGGGCTACAGGATGTTGGAGTTTTTCTTTTGTTTTTGTTTTTTTTAATATGTTTTTATTAATTTTTTAGAAAGAGAGAGAGGAATGGAGAGAAGATAGAAACATTGATGTGAGAGAGAAACATCAATTGGCTGCCTTGTGCATGTCCTTCACTGGGGTTCGAGCTTGCAACCTGGGCACGTGCCTCAACTGGGAATCGAACTGGGACCTCAGTCCATGGGACAACACTCAATTCACTGAGCCACACCGACCGGTCAGGGTGTTGGATTTTTTTTCAAATATTTGTGTGTTTATTTTAGTTTTTTATCCTCACTTGAGGACATTTTTGCATTTATCTGCAGATAGAGCAGGAGGGAGAGAGGGAGGGAGGGAGGAAGAGAGAGAAACATCGATGTGAAAGAGACACATCGAGTGGTTGCCACACACACGACCCCAACCTGGGCCGGGGACAAACTGCAACCGAGGTATGTGCCCTTAGTGGGAACCAAACCCAGAACTCTCTGGTCCGCAGGCCGACGCTCTAACCGCCGAGCCAAACTGACCAGGGCAGGGTGTTGGTTTTTTTTTTTAATCCTCACCCGAGGACATTTTTCCACTTTTTGTTCAGATAGAGTGGGAGGAAGAGAGAGAGAGAAACATCGACGTGAAAGGGACACATTGAGTGGCTGCCACCCACACGACCAACCAGGGCCGGGGACAAACTGCAACCGAGGTACACGCCCTAAACCGAACCCAGGTCTCTCTGGACCGCAGGCAGACGCTCCAACCACTGAGCCAAATCGGCCAGGGCAGGGTGTTGGTTTTTAAGTCATTATCTCCATCAGATCCCTTCAAGGCAAAGACCGTGTTCTGGTCAAGTGAGGCTGGGAGTGAGGAGATACTTGGCAAGCCTAGGGGTCTCCTAGCCAGAGCTACCTGGGCAGGGGGATGGGGAAAAGGCTGACTGAAGCTGGGGTCTCCCTACATGAGTTCATGAGGAGCACTAACTGAGTTGACCCCACCTTGCCGCACCCTCCCTCTTGATACATAGGGAAACTGAGGCCAGAGGGAAGCAGACACCTGCCAGTATCACTGAACAGAACTGAGGTTTGAACCCAGGGCTCCTACTAGTGTGAGGGAGAGAAGCGCATAGGTCCCACCAGCTCCCTTACAGTCCTCAGATACTCAGGCAAGTAAGTGGTGGCGAGCCGAGTAGCTCCTGTGCTTTCAGGCTGGTGGCCAGGACAGTCATGCCCTCTAAGACCACTAAGCTCTCCTGATCTGCCCCTCCACCTCTTTGCTGACAGCTTCTCTTCTCTGACTCTTGATGCAACTCAATCCCAACCTGTCCAGGCTGAAAGGCAGGGAAGATTGTCCCTTCCCAGAGGGAAAGCTACTGTTTTTCCAAAGAGCTATTATTATCCAGAGATGTGGCCTTCCCTCCAGCTTCCTGGCCAGTCTGCCCCGGAGTAAATGAGGATCCTCCCACCACTGCCAGCAGGTTCTGGGGATTGGTAGAGGCCATCCAAGCAGGTTACCGTTCACCTGCCATCCCCTTCCTCCTGTAATTCCTCCTCTTAGCCACCCTCTATCATCTAAAAGCAGCAGGGTGGGGCTCAAAGATATAATACCTAGCACCTTCATAATAATCCTTTTATTTTGCTTCAAAGGAGACCCTGATTACTGGGGGCCTATGGCAGAGACTAGGTGGGGTAGAGAGTTCTGGACCTTTAAACCTGCAGAGGACAAAGAGGCCAGGTGGTATTTTCAGGACCTAGTACAATCCATAAAGTCTCAGGCTTGGGAACAGCATCTGGGGCCCCTCTAGCCCCTGAGCCTTTGGAGCTCTGCTCACTGGGCTGTGAGTAGGCCTAGGCCCTTCTGGAACCTTCCCAGAGCATTTCTGCAACCCTAGGCCTTCCACCTGGTCTTCCACCACTACCTCTTCATTTTATTCCTTGGTCACACTCTCCCTTCTTTCCGTCTTGGAGCATTCTCTGGGCAGCCCACTGGGATCTGTACATGTATCACCCACTTCCCCACTCCATTTCCTTCCCATCTGTATTATGTGCATTATTTTCCTGAGTGAAGCCCATTTATTTTGTCCCACCATCTGTGGCAGGCAGAATATGTAGCATAGTGGCTAAGGGTACACAGGCCCTGGAGCAAAATTTCCTGGGTTCAAATTCCAGCTTTGCAGCTAACTAGCAGTGAGAGTTTGCATAATTGAGTTTACTCCTCAAAACTCCAGTTTCCTCATCTTTATCTAAAATGGGGGCATCTTCTGCCCTGGCCGGTTTGGCTCAGCAGTTAGAGTGTCGACCTGTGGCCCAGAGAGACCTGGGTTCGGTTCTCGCTAAGGGCACGTACCTCGGTTGCAATGTGTCCCCAACCCTGGTTGGGTCGTGTGGGTGGCAGCCACTCAATGTGCCCCTTTCACATCGATGTTTCTCTCTCTCTCTCTCTCTTCCTCTCCCTCCCTCCCACTCTCTCTGAACAAAAAATGGAAAAAAATGTCCTCAGGTGAGGATAAAAAAGAAAAATAAATAAGTAAAATGGGGGCATCTTCCTCCTAGGTTTCCTAGGTGAATCCAAGATGTTGAACTTCAAATAGTGCTCAAACTCTATCTTAAGTCCATTTTTGTTTTTTTTTGTTTTTCTCTCTGAACTTGCTCCTCCAAAGTAAGATTTCCCAGGTCAAACCCCAAACTGACGTGGCTCTTCCTCAAGGTTCTCATCACTTCCACTTCCTGAGGTTGAGTTCTGGAGCTGGGGTTCCTTTCCTGTGAACTTTGTGTTTGTGTGTTTGTGTGTAGGAGGGGTGGAATCAAGGTATGGGGTGAGGGTGTAGCCAGGCGTGCCCTTTTGACCTTATGTGAGAAAGCAGCACCCTGTGCAGGACTGGCAACAGAGAACAGACATAAGGGGTCAGCTCAGCTCTTTGGTTTCAAAGCAGCCAGGGTTCTGTCCCCCAGCAGGAGCTGCTGAGTAAAGAATGGAAAACATGGCCTGGCCGGTCTGGCTCAACGGTTAGAGTGTCAGCCCGCAGACCAGACAATCTTGGGTTCGGTTCCCACTAAGGGCAAGTACCTTGGTTGCAGTTTGTCCCCAGCCCCGGTTGGGGTTGTGTAGGTGGCAGCCAGTCGATGTGTCTCTCTCATATCTATGTTTCTCTCTCTCTCTTCCTCCCTCTCTCCCTCCTGCTCTATCTGAAGATAAATGCAAAAATATTCTTGAGTGAGGATTAAATAAATAAAATAAAAAGATGTTTAAAAAAAAAGAATGGAAAACATGTCCTGGCCAGTGTTGCTCGCTCAGTGGTGAGAGCATCAGCCCACACACAGAATGGTTGGTCACTAGTTCGATTTCCAGTCAAGGGTACATACCTGGGTTGCAGGTTTGATTCCCTGCCTCAGCTGGGGCACATGCAGAAGCAACCAATAGATATGTCTCTCTCACATTGATGTTCCTCTCTCTTTCTCTCCCTTCTTTTCCCTCTATAAAATCAATAAATAGCCCTAGCTGGTTTGGCTCAGTGGTTGGAGCATTGGCTTGTGGACCAGAGAGTCCCGGGTTTGGTTCCCACGAGGGGCACGCACCAAAAACATTAAAAAATAAATAAAATCAATAAATAAAAATGTAAAAAAAACATAAAACTGCTCTCTTGTTCTGCTGTCTTCAAATAAATGTTCCACAGTCCTCTCTGGGCAGAAATGTCTAGAAAACAATGACTCAGGTGCTAAACAGCCTCTGGGCCCACCAAGGCCACACCCCCAGCCTCCTGAGCTGGCCCAGGACGGACAAGCATCCCCAGAGACCAGGCTAGGATTGAGACTTCCCTGAAGGGGCTCTCTGTGATGCCTATATGTCTGTTTTCTGAGCCTCACAGGGCAGAGGAGCAAAGGAACTCTTCTCCCTGGACACACAGGTTTTTCAGGTAGCATGGTCTTCAGGTATCGCTAGATCCAGGGCCTCTGATTGAGCTCTTAAAGAATCTGCCCTTCCCTGTCTTTTGGCTCTGCTTTCCTCTGTTTTTCTGTGTTTGGCATCATTTACAAACTCTATGTGGAGACCAGGCTGCCACCAGAAGAAGCTCTGGACTTATATCAACCATGCTGCCTATAGTTCTGGAGTTTATGTGGGGGGAGGGAAATTTTTCAGGAATTAATTCCCCTGATTGCATCACATATGATCTAAGTTGGTGCTGTGCCCAGTGGTGTGTGGTGTTTGATTGGTCAGGCCTGAGGTTATCAGGGGTATCCTCAACTCTATCCTAGTCCTTGAAGGCCAAGAATTAAGAGTGGGATGGTTGCCCAGGACAATCAGGGTTGTATTGCAGGAAAAGGAATGGATACTGGGAAGACAGGTATAATAGATGCTCACCCTGGGCCTAAAAAGGTGCTGCAGGAACCTTGGGGAGAGAGTACATCACTCCACCTGTGGGAGTCTGGGAAGGCTTCCCAAAGGAAAGGACATTTGGAGATGTTGAAGGATGAGTAGAAGTTTGGCAAGTGGCTTGCGATCCAGTGGATAGTGAAGCAAGCATACAGACAGAAAGCCTGATCATTGCTCACATGTCCCATTTTTGTGTCCAGCGATGGTCCCTTCTGCCGGATCTGCCATGAGGGAGCAAATGGAGAGAGCTTGCTGTCTCCCTGTGGCTGCACTGGCACACTGGGTGCTGTGCACAAGAGCTGTCTGGAGAGGTGGCTTTCCTCATCCAACACCAGCTACTGTGAGCTGTGCCACAAGGAGTTTGCAGTGGAGAAGCGGCCCCGGCCCCTCACAGAGGTACGCTTAGGAGCCTGAGTTTGGAGTGGGCAAGGGAGGAATGCAAGCATGGATCCAGAGGAGGGAACTGCCTTGGAGGATCCTGGTTGGCTAAGGAAGCAGCTTCTTTATAGGATGTACCTCTTTCCTTCCTCTGCTACTGGGTAGATTCCACTGATAGAGGTGGGGGACTAAGCCTAAGGGTCCAGATCTGACAAACCTTGTGCCCCCTTCCCTCATTTGGTCACTTCAGGTGAACTCTGAACCTGAGACCTGAGGAATGAAAAGGAGCCAGCAATGCCAAGAACCTGGGGGAGGGCAGTCCTGGCAGAGGGCACAGCAAGTGCAAAGGCCCTGAAACCAGGAAGTGTGTTTGACAAAGCCCAAGTGGCTAGAGTAGAGCAAGTTTAAAGCAGGAGAAGGGTAGCCCAGAAGGAGATGGTAGCAGCCACACTGGGCTTTGTGGTCCTTGACTGGGAGGTTACACTTTAGCCTGAGTGGGTTGCGTCAGTGCTAAGACAGGGTTTTCCCAGGTGTGGTGGTCTCCTTGCTCCCTAGAGGCTTGCTGGCCACCTGGGTGCTCTTCTGGCTCTTCCCTGCCCATGACTGAGAGCTACAGGGTGATGACACTGAGCTGAGGTATAGGCTTCTGGAAAGGTTCCTGGTGCACCTGGAGCTGGGCTCTTAGGAGAACAGTGGGAGAGAGAACTTGCCCTGCCTATAGTCCCCTTCTCCCTCATGCTCCAGCCACATGGGCCTCCTCCCCGCTGTACTTTGTCCAGGTCACACACTTTCAACTCAGGGCCTTTGCATCTGCTGTTCCTGCCACCTAGAGTGCCATCTCCCCCATTCTTCACATGGCTCCTTCTGCTCATCTGATCCTCAATGTCATTTCCTTAGCAAGACCTTCCCCTCCTTGATCACCTGCTCCATTTTGTACCTAACCCCACTAGCATGGGAGGGCAGGGACTCTTTCTATCCTGTTCACCAGAATTTCATGAGTGAAGCCCATTTCTCTTGCCTAGTCATCTGTGGCAGGCAGTGTAGCACAGAGGTCAAGGGTACACAGCCCCTGGGACAAGACTTCCTGGCTTCCAGTCCTGGCTTTGTGATTGATTAACTGTGCGAGTTTGCACAAATGAATCAGCCCCTCTGTGCCTCTCAGTTTCCCCATCTGTAAAATGGGGCAAAGATGTCCAGCAGGACCTGGCTCATCATAGGCTCTTTAAGTATTTGTAAGAAGGAACAGAAGGAGGGAGGCGAAAGGCAGGAGGTTAGTTCTGCAGGGCCCAGTGGTCATGAGGAGTGTCAGCAGAGGGAGGTACAGGGTTTGGAGGTCTTACACCCTATCCCTAGGTTGGAGATAGCTGAAGGGAGGTGTGTAGCCTCTCTCAGCAACTCCCCCACTTTCTTTACCCCTGGCAGTGGCTGAAGGACCCAGGGCCTCGGACAGAGAAGCGGACGCTTTGCTGTGACATGGTGTGTTTCCTGTTCATCACGCCGCTGGCTGCCATCTCAGGCTGGCTGTGCCTGCGCGGGGCCCAGGACCACCTCCGGCTCCACAGCCAGCTTGAGGCTGTGGGGCTCATTGCTCTCACCATCGCCCTCTTCACCATCTATGTCCTCTGGACGCTGGTAAGTGGCTATAAGCCAGAGAGCAGGTGTCTAGGGGTCTCTGGCTTAGAGCAGTCCAGCCAGGGGTTTAGTCAGTGGCTTGGGGTGAGGGATACCTACCTGCCTGTCTCTCCACATGGCCCTGGGTGGAATTAAGATTCTGCACTCAACCAAGGTTTAGGGAAGCTTGAGCTGGGTGTGAGCCTGCTGTTCCAAGGAGACCAGGGCATCTGATCACCAGTGCTGAGTGCAAGCCCTGTCATCCACGAGCACACCAAGACTGGACTGGGCTGGGGGTGGGGGGTCAGGGGAAGAGAGAAGAGGGAGAGATGGAGAGAGAGACAGACAAACAGACTGACTAAGACCAAAAGACAGAAAGAGCAGGAGAATGAGAGACCAAGAGAGGGATAGATAAGAAACAGAAAAAAACTACTGAAAGAGAGAGGGAGACTGGGGTGGAGGAGTTGTTCCAGACCTCTGGCAGGCATAAGAACCCTTGCTCAGAGAGAAAAGGGCCCGAGATATAATTGGTCTGTGGGGGCATTCCCTCCTCAAAAATTATTTTTCATTGCATTCACCAGCATATTAAAAAAATACAAATAGGATGACACAGGTACTGCTTTGCAGTCTGCTTGTTTTCACTTTGTTAGTGTCCTTTAAAAAAAAGGCAGTCTGGCTGGTATGGCTCAGTGGTTGAGCATCGACCCATGCACCGAGAGGTTGCTGGTTCGATTCCTGGTCAGGACACATGCCCAGGTTGTGGGCCCAATCCCCAGTTCTGTGCATGCAGGAGGTGGCCAATCGATGTTCTCTCTCATCGATGTTTCTCTCTCTCTCTCCCTCTCACTTCCTCTCTCTCTAAAATCAATAAAGGAAAAAAAATAAAAACAAAATAAAATAAAAAGGCAGTCACCCAGCAGTTATTCATTGTATGGGTGTATAATATTGATTTAAAAAATCTCTTTTGATAAGTTCTGGGATACATTCCAATGTTGGTTTTTCTTCCTTTTTTTTTTTGGTTAATCCTCATTCAAGGATATTTTTTTCTTGATTTTTAGAGAGAGGAAGGGAGGGAGGGTGGGAAAGAGAGAGAGAGACAGATGTGAAAGAGGAACATTTATCGGCTGCCTCCTACACGCCCTCTACTGGAGATTGAGCCCACAACCTGGGCATGTGCCCTGACCAGGAATTGAGTCAGTGACCTCTCAGTGCATGGGTCAACGCTCAACCATGGAGCCACAAAAGCTGGGCTTTTGTTTGTTTGTTTATTTTATGCTGTATGAACAGCACTTTGGGCAACACCTATGTGAATGTTTCTTGTAACTTGCTTGGTCAAAGAGTATGAACCATTGACGTTTATTTATTTTTTTAAATCCTCACCAGAGGATATTTTTCTGTTTATCCTCAGATAGAGTGGGAGGGAGGGAGGGAGAGAAAAACATCGATGTGAGAGGGACACATTGACTGGTTGCCTCCCACATGACCCCAACCAGGGCCAGGGACGAACCGCAACCAAGGTACATGCCCTTGACCAGACTCAAACCTGTGACTCATTGGTCTGCGATCTGACACTCTAACCACTGAGCCAAACCGGCCAGGGCCATTGACATTTATTTTAAAATAAATTTTTTTCTTTTTTTAAACCTTATTTTGATGGTTTGCATTGTATTACATTTTTCTGTTTCTTTATTGATTTCAGAGAGAGAGGAGGGAGAGGGAGAGAGAGACGGAAACATGGATGAGAGAGAACATCGACTGGCTGCCTCCCACACGCCCCCCCACCAGGGATCTGACCCACAACCTGGGCATGTGCCCTGAACGGGAATCAAACTGGCGACCTCCTGGTGCATGGGTCGATGCTCAACCACTGAGCCACACTGGCTGGGCTAAAATAATTTTATTTTTTTAAATTTATTTATTTATTTTTTCCTCACCCAAGGACATTTTTCCTTTTTTTTTTTTTTTTTTTGTTCAGATAGAGTGGGAGGGGGGGAGAGAGAGAGAAACATCAACGTGAAAGGGACACATCGAGTGGTTGCCACCCGCACAACCCAACCAGGGCCGGGGACAAACTGCAACCGAGGTACGTGCCCTTAGCGGGAACCGAACCTAAGTCTCTCTGGACCGCAGGCCGACACTCTAACCGCTGAGCCAAACCGGCCAGGGCATAAAATAATTTTTTTTTTTTATCTTCAGATAGAGCGGGAGGGAGAGAGGGAGGAAGAGAGAGAGAAAAACATCCATGTGAGAAAGACACATTGAGTGGTCACCACCCACATGACCCCAACCAGGGCTGGGGACGAACTGCAACCGAGGTACACGCCCTTGGCGGGAACCAAACCGGGACTCTCTGGTCCGCGGGCTGATGCTTTAACTGCTGAGCTAAACTGGCCAGGGCTAAAATAATTTTTATAAACTTTATTTATTAGGCCATTTTAAGGTTCACAGCAAAATTGATCAGAAAGTACAGAGAATTCTCATATATTCTCCCCCATACACACAGCTCCCCCACCACTGTCATGGCACCAGAAAGTACATTTCTTAGAATTAATTAATCTCCATTGATACATCATTATCACCCCAAGTCCATGGGATTACATTAGGGTTCATCCTGGTTTTGTACATTCTATGGGTTTGGACTAATGTGTCATGACATGTGTCCACCATTACAGTATCATAAAGAGCAGTTTTAGAGCCCTAACAATCTTCTGTGTCCCACCTAGTCATCCCTTCGGCCCCACCCTCAACTCCTGACAACTTCATAGTTTTGCCTTTTCCAGAATATCATAGAGGTGGAATTATGCAGTCTGTAGCCTTTTCAGACTGGCTTCTTTCACTTAGCAACATACATTTAAGTTTCCTCCATGTCTTTTCACAGTTAGATAGTTCATTTCTTTCTTTCTTCTTTTTTCATCTTCATGCAAGGACATTTTTCTTGCCTTTATCTTCAGATAGAAAGAGGGGAAGAGAGAGAGAGAAACATTGATGTGAGAGAGACACATTGACTGGTTGCCACCCACGACCCCAACCGTGGGCCGGGGATAAACCGCAACTGAGGTACATAGCCTTAGCGGGAACTAAACCCAGGACTCTCTGGTCCGCAGGCCAACACTCTAACCACTAAGCCAAACTGGCCAGGGCCATAGCGCATTTCTTTTTAGTGCTGAATAATATTTCATCATCTGATGTCCCACAGTTTATCTATTCACCTACTGAAGGACATCTTGGTGGTTTCCAAGTTTTGGCAATATATGATCCAATGACATATAATTTCTTCCAAGAGGCTATAGCACTTCACTTCTACCCTCTGAGAGACCGCCTCACCTTTACAGGGCTCTGAACACTGGGCTTTCCCAGGATAGTGAATGGGTTTGTGTGTACAGTCTGTATGAAAAATACCTGGTGGCAGTCTCTGCTTCTGGAACCATGATCCTGGGCCTGGTGTGGGCCAAGGCCAGTTCCTCAGCACCCCAGTCTTCCTCCCATGGGGAGGAGGCCTGCTGGCTGCTGGCCTTCCCACCCATCCCTGCACTGCCCCACAGGTCTCCTTCCGCTATCATTGCCAGTTATACACTGAGTGGAGAAGGACCAACCAGAAAGTACATCTAAAGATCCGGGACACAGATGGCTCCGAGGCTACCCAACACTCGCTGCTGGCAGCAGGATTCTTGAAGAAGGTGGCAGAGGAGACACCTGTGTGAAGGCTGGGCTGGCAGGGCCAGAGGCAACTGATGATGCCCTGGCTTTTGGAAGAATGGAAACTGCCTGACCCTTCCTGCATGGCCAGAATGCTTCTTAAGCCAAGAGACACCAAGTGGAGCTGATTCTGTGATCCTGTGTGAAGATATTTTTATATTGTTTTTGCACACTGTTGTACATGAAGACAACAGATGGAAGTGGTCCTGAGTTTCACATGGAGCGGGCACCCTGATCTCATTTTGAGGTCCACTCAGCCCCTCGTGGGCCAGCAGCTGTGGCCATAGGCTAGTTGAGGACGCCCATGGGGCTGGGAGTTCTGCAAGTTTCTTGTGCTTCTCTGCACCTGGCAGGCTCACATTCCTGGCACCTTCAACTTTACAAAGTTGCACTGAGTTTCAAAAACCCACCCTGAATAAATAAAAGGAGCCTTTGCTGGATAAAATTGACTTGTCAAGTATATTTCAGAACAGAGGCCTCAAAGTGAAGGATGTGGGACCAAGGGGAGTCAGGGACCATACAGAGGTTAAAAAAAACATGCACTAGGCTGGTTTGAGAGATCTGTTGTGAAACACAGCAGAAGAAGCCAACTTTGAGTGTTCAGGTGAAGAGCAGGTAGCATAGTTATATAATAAATGATTTAAAATAAATATACGTAAGAACAGTTTCTACTTACTTTGCATCTACTGTGGGCCAGATGCCACGCTGAGCCCTTTACACTCATTAATAACTAATGTCCACACTTACCGAGGGTCACCTGAATGAGGCTTAGTTCAGAACCTTTACAGGCTTTCTCCAACTCTCACTACCATTCTTGGCAGGAGGAATGGTTGTTATCTCCACTTTACAGATGAGAAGACTGAGGTCCAGAGCAGGGAAGCCTCTGTCTAAAGTCCCACAATTCTAGGATGTACAGTTGGGATTGACCGTGGGTCTGCATGGCTCCAATGGTGAGCTTTGTGTTTCCCCTTCTAGGAGGACTCAGGAAAGAAGTAGAAAATGGTCATGCTAATAATAGCACCCACTTCTTCTTCTTCTTCTGTTTTTTTAATCCTCACTTGAGGACATACTTTAAAGAGAGGAAAGGAGAAAGAGAGAAATATCAACTGGTTGCCTTTTGTACGTGCCCCGACCAGGGGTCAAACCTGCCACCCAGGTATGTGCCCTGACCTGGAATTGAAATGGCAACCTTTCAGTGCACAGGATGACACTCAAATAACTGATCCACTCCAACCCGGCAATAACACTTCTTAAGCACTTTCTAAGCCTTTTTTGTTTTTTATCCTCACCTGAGGACATTTTTCCATTTATTTTCAGATAGAGAAAGAAGGAGGGAGAGAAGGGGGGGAGTGAGGGGAGGGGGGAGAGGGAAGGAGAGAGAGAGAGAGAGAGAGAGAGAGAGAGAGAGAGAGAAACATCGATGTGAGAGAGACACATCGATTGATCGACTGGCTGCCCCCAGCACAACCCCAACCAGGGCTGGGGACGAGCTGCAACTGAGGTACGTTATCTTAACTGGAATCGAACCCGCGACTCTTTGGTCCATTGGCCAACGCTCTGAACACTGAGCCAAAACGGCCAGGGCACTTTCTACGCCTTTTATGTTTCAGGGAATCTCTGCATTAGGCCACACTTAATTCTCAGAGCAGCCTGAAAGGTAGGTTCTGGGGTTCTCTTATTAATCTCATTTGCAGGTGAGCAAAATGGGTCCTGAGAGCAGTGGGTCACTTGCCCAAGGTCATTCATTCTTTTTAATTTTTTTTTATCCTCATCCGAGGACATTTTTCCATTTTTTGTACAGACAGAGTGGGAGGGAGAGAGAGGGAGAGAGAGAGAGAGAGGGAAACATCGATGTGAAAGGGACACATCGAGTGGCTGCCACCCACACGACCAACCAGGCCGGGGACAAACTGCAACCGAGGTACGTGCCCTTAGCGGGAACTGAACCCGGGTCTCTCGGGACCGCAGGCAGACGCTCTAACCGCTGAGCCAAACCGGCCAGGGCAGGTCATTCATTCTTGATGGGCCTAGAACAGTTCTGTTGTTTTCTGCATGAATCCCTGTTTGGTCTGTGGTTCTCCCACAGAGGAAGAAAAATCCTTTCTACCCCAGACTAGAAGGTAAAGGGGAGGCCAACCTGGCTGTGGAGGAAGAAACAGCAAAGAGCAAAGGCATGGGGACTGTATCTTGCATGGTCTGTGGAAGGAGCAGCATGGTAGATGATGGTGCTGCGGCAGTGTGATTAAGGGGCAGAGGGGTAAGAGAGAGGCAGTTAGAAAGAAAAACAGGGCTTTGTAGGCATCTGGTGGTCTGCAGAAACAAGAATTATACCCATCTTGCTTCTGCAGCTGCTCACTCTCTGCCCAGGCCTAGCACCTACCTTTCCAGGCCATTTTTGGAGTGTGGTACCACTGGGGATGATGCAAAGAGGCCCCAGGATATGCCATTATGAAATGAGAAAGCTGGTTCCTTTGCAAATCTCTTCTAATACTTTCAATTACATCCTAGAGAAAGTTGTTGGTTGGTGCTAGGTTGTCTTTAATGACCCTTAACCCTAGCAAAGAGAGAGCAAGTGTTAGGTTCAGAGCCTACATGCATGACTGAATTTATACTTGAATAACATCAACTTCATATATATATGGTTGATGTCAATCCTCACCCAAGGATATTTTTTCATAGATTTTTAGATAGACTGGAAGGGAGGGAGAAAGGGAGAGAGAAAGAGAGAAACACCGACGTGAGAGAGACACATCAATATAGGTTGCCTCGCCCTGGCCGGTTTGGCTCAGCGGTTAGAGCGTCGGCCTGCGGTCCGGAGAGACCCGGGTTCGGTTCCCGCTAGGGGCACGTACTTCGGTTGCAGTTTGTCCCCGGCCCTGGTTGGTCGTGCGGGTGGCAGCCACTCGATGTGTCCCTTCACGTCGATGTCTCTCTCTCTCTCTCTCCCTTCCTCTCTCTCCCTCCCACTCTGTCTATACAAAAAATGGAAAAATATCCTCGGGTGAGGATAAAAAAAAAAAAAAAAAAAAATATAGGTTGCCTCCTGAATGACCCTAACTAGGGCTTGACATCAAAACTGCAACCCAGGTACGTGGCCTTGACCAGGAATCAAATCCTCGACCCTTCAGTCCTTGGGCCAATGCTCTAACCACTGAGCAGAATTGGCCAGGGCCAATATAAAATGTTTATTAAAGATGGGGACAATGAAACATGGAAGGAGTTAGGTGGGGCTGCTTTGGCTTACTGGGAAGTAAAAGTCACAGTGACTGGGGTAAACCAAGGCAGGTCTGCTGCTGGCTCACTGAAAAGTCAGAGAAAAGGGGATCATGGAGACAGGTTCAGGGGGTAAGCCCAGGAGGAGCTGTGACTGTCCATTGCTCCACTGGTTGCAAGTCTTCTGGAGAACCTTAGAACTTAGGAAAAAACACACTTGAGAAAGAAATGGGGAGGAAAGGCATAGGCATGTTCTAGATGGAACCCGCCCTCTTTTTTTACAATAAGCTCTTTATAGTAAGTTTACAATATAGGCTGTGATAGAAAAGCACAATTTTAAAAATTGAATTAAAAATTTATTTATTGCCCCTGGCCAGTTTGGCTCAGCAGTTAGAGCATCAGCCCGTGGACCAGAGAGTCCCGGGTTTGGTTCCCGCTAAGGGCACGTACCTCGGTTGCGGTTTGTCTCTGGCCCTGGTTGGGCTCATTCGGGTGGCAACCAGTTGATGTGTCCCTCTCATGTTGATGTTTCTCTCTCTCTTCTTCCCTCTCTATCTGAAAATAAATGCAAAAATATCTTCAGGTGAGGATTTAAAAAAAATTATTTGTTTGAGAGAGAGCCATCAATTTGTTTTTCCACTTATCTGTGCATTCATTGGTTGATTCTTGTATGTGCCCTGACTGGGGATCGAACCTGTAATCTTGGTGTATCCGCATGATGCTATAATCATCTGAGCTATCCAGCCAGGGTGTTTTTTATTTTTAATTCTCACATGAGGCTAATTTTCCATTTATTTACTTATTTATTTATTTTAGATAGAGTGGGAGGGAGGATGGGAGAAAGAGAATCATTGATGTGAGAGAGACATCAATTGGTTACCTCCCACACGACCCAACTGGGGCCAGGGATTGAACCCCAGACTCTTCAGTCTGCAGGTTTGCTCTAACCACCGAGCAACCGGCCAGGGCCAGGGTGTTTTTTTTACTGAATTTATTGGGATGACATTAGTTCATAAAATTATATAGGTTTCAAGTGTACAATTCTATAATATATCATCTGTATATTATATTGTGTGTTACTACCTGAAGTCAAGTCTCCTTCCATCACCATTTATCTTCCCTATACCCTCTTCTACCTCCCCCACCCCCTTTCCTTCTGGTAATTACTATACTGTTGTCTGTGTCTATGAGTTTTTGTTTTAATTTTTTTTCTTTATTGATTTTAGAGAGAGAGGAAAGGAGAGGGAGAGAGAGAAACATCAATGAGAGAGAACATTGGCCGCCTCCTGCATGATGCCCTTGTTTTAATTTTTAAAATTCAAATTATAAGAAGTTTATTTAGTAAGTTACAGAGGTAGTAGAAGTGAGCCAGCTGGGCTGCACAGGCTCAGGAAACAAGTTACAAAGGCAGAAGAAGGGACCTTGGAGCTTAGGAGAGAAAAAGGCAAAGGTAATGCACCTGGGGGGGAGGGGTAGAAAGAGGGGAAGGGAAAGGCTCAGGGGAGCTCCTGAGAGAGAGAGAGTGTGCCTGAGTTTTTTTGCTTAATCTTCACCTTTTTCACCCAGCCACTATAAAGCACAATTTTATTTTTATTTATTTTTTTGTAAAGCACAATTTTAAAGCATATGCTTTTAAAAGAAAAGAAAGGGTGTCAATGAAAGGAAAATGTGGCCCTAGCCGGTTGCTCAGTGGTTAGAGCATCAGCCAGTGGACCAATGAGTCTCGGGTTTGATTTCAGTCAAGGGCATGTATCTCAGTTGCAGTTTGGCCCTGGCCCTGGTCGGGTCAAGCGGGAGGCAGCCAGTCAATGTGGCTGTATCATGTTGATGTTTCTCTCTGTCTCTCTCTCTCCCTCCCACTCTGATAATAAGTAGAAAAATATCCTCAGGTGAGGAATTAAAATAATAATAAGAAAATGTGAAGGAAATAATAGTCCAGAAGACGGCAAAACCCAGGAATCTGGGCAGTGTTGGATCAAGCCACCAGCCTACAGGAACCACCAGCTTGGAAGAGAATTTGTCCTCTCACCCTGGGCCTGGCTCATTGCTGATCTCCAGTCACAACCACAGCAGGAGAAAGGATCAGAGAAGTGGCTTCTTGTCCCTGATGGTTTGCATTTAAATTCTTCTCCCTGATTCTTACAGACTGTTGTGGTCTCTTCTGCCATCTCTGAACACTGCTGTACAAGAAAATTCAGAGGTTTGTGAGGCTTCTTCTGCTCCTGGTCCCCATTTCAGTGTAGAAGTCTAAGGGGGAGGAAGGTAAAATTGAGATAGATTCCAGCAGGGCCATGGGAGAAGGGTGCACAGTGGATTCTGGTAGAGATTTCAGGGGCGGGGGGTAGTGGGAGGAGGTACCTTATGGGTGGGAGAAAGGAATTTTGTGAGATAGGTGAGTTTGGGAAGTATGTAGGAATGGAACTGGAAAGGGAGGATGGGGCATGGCCTCCTGTCAGGCTGGGCTACCAGAAGAATTTATTCTCTGTACTCAGAGTTCTCAGTCTGGGTCAGAATCACTGGGTGGAATTAAGCAGATGAGAGGGTTTGGCAGGTGAGATATTCCACCAGAGCCTAATGGAATGCAATCATTCAGTGAGAAAGGCGGGAAAGAAAACCCCAAAACCTCTTCCCCTTGGTGAGCCTAGAGAATTTGGTGGTTAGATGGGAACTTCTTCAAGATTCAGTGAAGCATTTCAAAGTTCCAGACACACCAAGAGATGGGGAGCTTCTGGGGAAGGAGGCCTGAGCCTCCAAATGCTCCCCTAGACTCTGGCTTTTTCCTTGGGCTCTTCCCCAAGACAGTCTGTAACAGCCCTGAAAACCCAAATGGGAACTGGTACGAACCTTCAGGGCAGAGGGACCCACAGTCAGGCAGGAAGAAGCCCCAGTTAAGGTTAATGGGATCTTTTGGCCTGCAGCTCATTTCTCCCATCACATTTGGCTTCTTGCCTGTTCATTCACTGAAGAAACATCCATGAGCACGTACAAAGTCCCCACCTATGTGTTTTTGCTGTTGGTTAATGGTTACAGTATGAAAGACTTAGGCTATGAGCTCCGCACCCAGGAGCTCCCAGCTCCGGGACAGAACCTAGATATTCTTGGTGCAAGATGATACTTGCTTAGAGGTATAGCATTTTGCGCACCAGTTCTACAGCCTGGCTTGTCCTTGTTCTGCCTTTGCCTGGCTTACTCCTTTATATTCTGGTAAACAAAATTTTCACTGTCTGCTCCAGCTGATTACAGAAAGCTGGAAGTGACTAGGTCCGGGGAGGGGGGGGTGATGCCACTTCCTAATACAGCCAGCCCTCGTTTATTGCGGTTAATCAGTTCCAGACTCTACCGCGATAAACGAATTTCCCCAAAGTAGGATTATTTATATACAGTCCTCCCTCACCACTTCGCGCTTCTACGTTCGCGGCTTCACTCTATCGCGGGTTTTTCAAATACTACACTCTATTGGAAAAAACCGCGACAGAGTGAAGCCGCGAAAGTCCAAGCGCAAAGTGGCGAGGGAAGACTGTGGACCTCAAGAGCCGGTGGATAACTCAGTGAAGGCGCCCAACTCGCGTTTGCTGCGGGAATAAATAACAGCTGCAGGTCTGCGCCTGCGTGCGGCGGGGGCGTGGCGCGGAAAGGGAGGAAACCAGGCGGGAGCCGGCAGCGGTGCGCGCAGGCCTTACTGGTCGCGCTGGGTCACGTGAGCGCGCAGGCGCAGTGCCGTGCAGCCCGGTCCTTCACACAAAGCCCAGACGCGAAGAAAATGGCGGCAGGGGTCGAAGCGGCGGCCGAGGTGGCGGCGACGGAGCCCAAAATGGAGGGGGAGAGCGGCGCGCCTGGGGCACCGAGCGGCAACGGGATTCCGGGCCCGAAAGGGTGAGTATTACACGGTTCCTTGTCCCGGGCCAGGCCTTTCGCGGCGCTGGCTCCGTTAGGTCTCTTAGTCGCCTCAGCCCGGCGCGGCCTCGGCCCAGGCCTTCCCCGCGGGGCCTGCCGAGGGTGCGGGGGGCTAAGGCCGTCAGGAGGGCCGCCAGATGGCCCCGGAAGTGCCTCAAAGATTGCTCCTATGTCCCAGGCTTCGAGCCTCCACTCTCCTGGTCCATCCAGGCCGGTCCGAGCCCAAGGCCTCAGGCCAGGCCTCTGGGCACGGGGATGATGGCGCGGATCCCAGAGCTGGCGAGTCGCTGAGTTCGCGGCCCGCTCGCCTGTCGGGTGACCTTGGGCGTGGGGTTTCACTCTTTCCCCCAAATGTCGCGCCCCATGCCTGGGGTCTCAGTTTCCCGATCAGTCAAGTGGGGGGAGGGGAAGAAGTTAGCGCGCAGGATTTGACATGCGGTGGGCCCGGGTAAACGGTAGCGGAGGCGGGTAGGTATAGGCAGGAACCGCGAGGACCGCTCCGGCCGCCTCTTCCCCTCCCCCCTCCGGCGCGCGCGGCCCCCCCCCCCAGCAGAGTGCCTTGGTCGGAACCGCCCCTCGCCCCTCGCTCTAGCTTAAAAGTCCCTTACCGCGTCCTTCGTTTCCTTCCCAGGTGTGCAATAGGTATTCATAGAGCAATCGGGTCTGCTGCTCCGTGTTTACCCTTGGAAACAAACGGAAAAATGAGAGAAAACATCCTCTTCCGTGTTCTAGAGGAAGGTTTTCCATCATTCGGCTGGCTGTCCACTTCCAAATTCCGATACCTTTTGATTCCTACTTGGGGCACTGTCTCTCTCCGGTCCTTGGTTTTAAATATTTCCTTAAGGCATGATCTTGTGTCCCCATCAAACCCACTCATTCTGATTCCAGTCACCTGAAAGAAAAACGTTTGGTTCCGATCAGCACCTCTGGGGGGAGGAGAGGGGAAGGTTGGGCACACATTTGATTTCCCACGAGTTTTTAAAAACTGGTAACGGTCTTGGCCGGTTTGGCTCAGCGGTTGGCCTGCGGTCCGGAGAGACCCGGGTTCGGTTCCCGCTGGGGGCATGTGTCTTGGTTGGTTTGTCCTCGGCCCTGGTTGGGTTGAGCCAGTGCCAGCCACTCGATGTGTCCCTTTAACATCGATGCCCCCCCCATCTGAACAAAAAATGAAAAAATGTCCTCGGGTGAGGATTAAAAAAACATAATAATAAAAAAAATAAAGACTGGTAACGTACATAGTATATGATTTACAATTTTAACGATTTAAAGTGTCAGATACATTGTCATTAAGTGCATTCATTGTTGTGCAATCATCACCATCACCCGTGTCCAGAACTATTCAACATCCGGAACTGTAGCCACTAACTGATAATTTCCCATTCTCCCTAGCTCTCCAGCTCCTTATTACCTCATTTATACATTCTATTATGAATTTTCCTTCCCCCAAAATTTTTAATGTGCATAACTACAATTTGTGGGGATTAAAAAAGTGAATGTAGTTAAAACACTTTATGATAATGAGCATTCACTAAATACTAGCAATGTTAAACTTATTTAGGTGAGAAGGAGAATAGTATGGTTACTGGTCCATAGAACTCAAGAGAAAAGCATTTTGGAAATACTCTCAACACTTTATTATGAAAAATTCTGGAAAGGGATGTGTTCATTTTAGATTTTTTTTCAACATCTGTCTAGGGGGGCCTGATTGGTTTTCTGAGGGCCACATTTGGAGGCTTTGACTATAACATTTATATCTTGTATTTTTTCTTTTTCTTTTTTTTTTTTATCCTCACCCGAGGATATTTTTCCATTTTTTATACAGATAGAGTGGGAGGGAAAGAGAGGAAGGAGAGAGAGAGAGAAACATCGATGTGAAGGGACACATCGAGTGGCTGCCACCCGCACGACCACCAGGGCCGGGGACAAACTGCAACCAAAGTACGTGCCCTTAGCGGGAACCGAACCCGGGTCTCTCCGGACTGCAGGCCAACGCTCTAACCGCTGAGCCAAACTGGCCAGGGCTATATCTTGTATTTTTTCTTTCAAAGCACCTAATCATTGGTTGGAGCACTGCCAGAATCGGGGCTAGGTGAGAAGTTGAATTAGTTACAGGTTATATAGCGTCTGGAGTACTTTTTAAAATTTCCCATTTTGTACTGTTAATTTACAAATAGTCATTTTGTGACTGGTCATTTGGCAAACATAACATAGACTATTAAAAATAAAAGTTTAGCCAGGTGGTGTGGCTCAGTGGTTGAGTGTTGACCCATGCACCAAGAGGTGGCTGGTTCGATTCTGGGTCAGGGCACATGCCCAGGTTGTGGGCCTGATCCCTTGTGGGGGACATGCAGCAGGTGGCCAGTTGATGTTCTCTTTCATTGATGTCTCTCTCCCTCTCCAAAATCAATAAAGAAAAAAAAAATTTACATTGAATCCTGCACCTGGCCTCTGGCTCATGTACCATTTTGGAACAGAGGTGGGCAAAAACAAAGCTGCTCTCTTTTAAAATAAATTATGTTTAGTTTAGGTTACTGGGAGGGTAATGTTTGTGTTAAATTTGTTTTGCAACCAAGAAAAAATTTTTTTTAACCTTTGAGAAAACTCAGGTTAAGGTAATTGACCCAAAGAGTCTAGGGGAGGCCATCTTGACTTTAAGGTCCTTGCAGCTTCCACAACACTACTCTGGTAACCTCTCACTAAATACAGTCATTTGAAGTTTATTATTTAAATAATAATGATTTGAGTGGGTTTGTTGTTTTTGCACTATACTTTAAAAAGTGTTTTAATACTTGATAAGAATTTTTGAGACATGATATTCTGAGCTCAGGATTAGAATAGGGGGCTCTATTTGAATCCCTGCAGCCAGGTCTTTGCTTTCACTTTGCTCTATGATTTTTTCTTTATTGATTTTAGAGAGAGAGGAAGGGAGAAGGAGAAAGACAGAAATAGAAACATTGATGAGAGAACAATTGACTGCCTCCTGCATGCCCCCCACTGGGGATTGGGTCCACAACCTGGGCGTGTGCCCTGACTGGGAATTGCGATGTCCTCTTAGTGCATGGATCTATGCCCAAGCACTGAGCCACACCGGCCGGGCTGCTGTATGATTTTTTTTATTCATGGTTATGCAAGCGGTGTTTACATGAATGTAAGCATTAGGTTGCTTGTTTCTTTTTCTTACTTTTTTATCCTCACCCGAGGACATTTTTCCATTTTTTGTTCAGATAGAGTGGGAGGGAGAGAGAGAGGGCGAAACATCGGCGTGAAAGGGACAGATCCAGTGGCTGCCTCCCCCACGACCAACGAGGGCTGGGGACAAACTGCAACGAGGTAGGTGCCCTTAGCGGGAACTGAACCCGGCTCTCTCTCCACCGCAGTCCGACACTCTAACTGCTGAGCCAAACCGGCCAGGGCTGCTTGTTTCTTTTCAGGGTTCTCTCATTACAGTATTTTGCAGTCATAAAGTTGAAAACTGAATTGCTCCTTCGGTAGTCTGCAAGTACAATAATGCCTAGGTTACCTCAGTCATTGCCCTGGTGAGCTTGTTTTAAAGCCTAATCCGGCCCTGGCAGGTTTTGCTCAGTGGTTAGAGCGTCGGCCTGCGGTCCTGAGAGACCCGGGTTCGGTTCCCGCTAAGGGCGCGGACCTCGGTTGCAGTTTGTCCCCAGCCCTGGTCGGTTGTGTGGGTGGCAGCCACTCGATGTGTTCCTTTCACATCGATGTTTCTCTCTCTCTCTCTCTGTTCCTCTCTCTCCCTCCCACTCTACCTGAACAAAAAATGGGAAAATGTCCTCGGGTGAGGATAAAAAAAATAAAGAAATAAAGCCTAATCCGTATACGCAACGGTAGAAGGCTAGGAGTTAATCATTCCCCCTCCCTACTGCCCTCAATAAAATTATTGGTAGGAAAATATTATCACTGCCGAAGTCACTGTATGCCAAGTCTCTAAACCTTTATAGATGAAGGCACTGAGGCTTAGCAAAAGTGACATTGAAGTTAAGGCGTTGATGGTTGGGACCCTACTTCTTAGTCACCCGTATTACTAATGTTGCACTTAACATTTATCAAGTTGTATTTTGTTAGGCTGTTTGTTGATTCTCGCAGCATCCCTGTGAGCTACGGTGGCTACAGGTTATGCTGGTTTTGCTGGTAAAGAACCAGAGAGGAAAAGAGCTTGAATCATGTGGGTGGTTAAGTGATGGACCTGGAGCTGGAATAGTGCTGTTATGAACTGTACTCTCCACATCTTAAATGCATTAGAGGAGCTCAGGATTGAAAGGATTTCTGTGAAGAATCATTTTACATAAGAGATGGTTCTCAAGGGGTTAGGGGGAATGCGGATTCTTTTTCTCTCAGGAAGATGTGTTCAGGATTTCAGGGTATTGGAGTTGCCATTTCAGATTATACTCTTAATTGAAGAACTTTGCAAGTATTATGCATGGGAATGCTGTGGAGGCAGGCATGAGAGGTTAGGGATTCACCATTTTAAATAGTAAATGTAGCACTCCTTTGTGGAGTAGGTAGGCACTTTAATTTTTTTTTGGTTGTGATCTTTATGTGTAGTATAATTCTAGTGTTGTGGAGCAGTGACATGGTAAATTATCAATTTTTAAAGAATGCAGTCAGTGAAACAATTCCAAAGCCATATTAAACATAATTAGTCTCATTTTAATGACTTGGGAGGTAATTTCAGATATTTTAGATTTGTCTTTATTATGAAATAGGTTTATAGAATTTCAGAAAGCTTTGGTTATATTGATTCTTTTTAGAACTTAGATGGAATCAGAATCGTTGGCAATTGGGAATTGAGTGCCAATTAGCCAGGAGAATATTGACTGGTAAACATTTAGCTGGCCTAGGTAGACCACTTACTGTGGCTTCACACACAGTAAGTTTTTTTGAAAGATTACACGTTTGTTACTTTATGTTGGAGTTACAAGTCAAGTTATTGGGGTTAGGTTTGTAATTTAATATCAGAAGAAACTTTAAAAAACAGTGTTGTATAATAGCCACAATAAACATATAAGAAATGTACAGTTTGGTAAGTGTCAGTATATAAAACCCTCACTGAGTCAAGATAATAAATATATCAATGACTACCAGAAGCTTTTTTTCACCCTTTTGTAATCCTCTGGGCCTCCCCCCACCCCCACCCAGGCTACTGAGGGTCTGCTTCCCATCAGTTATGCATCATGGGTTCTCAACTGGGTGATTTCTTTCCTCCAGGGGACATTTGGAAGTGTTTGGAGACATTTTTAATCTTCACCTTCAAGACTGAGGGATGGGGTCGCTACTGGCATCCTTGAGTAGAGATCAGGGAATGCTGTTAAACACCCTGTAGTGTACAGGGCACCTCCCCCCACCCCCAACATAGGATTATCTGGCCTAAAATGTCAGTAGTTTTGAGGTTGAGAAACTCCGCTGTAGATTAGTTTGTCAGAGTAGATCTTCTGAAATACAGAGTTTTATATGATGGAATCATACTGTATGTACTCCTTTCTTGTCTTTTTTTTTTTAAGTATAAATATGTTGAGATTCATTTATATTGTTTGCAGTGTATTAATGTACTACAATTTGTTTATTCATTTACCTGTTAGTAGACATTTAGATTTCCAGTTTTGGGGTTTTATAAGTAATGTTGCTGTGAACATTCAGGGACAAGTTTTTGTATGGAAATGTGCTTTATTTTCTCTTGGGTGAGTATCTAACTGCGGATGATTGGATCATATGGTAGGTGTGTGTTTAACTTAACATGTTTAATGTCTGTAATATACTAAATTTGGGGTGTTTATCAATGTTGTCAATTCTGCCTATAAAAAATGTACTTCTGCCCGGCCGGTGTGGCTCAGTGCTTGAGTGTAGACCCATG